CGAAGTCTTTCTAAAAAGCCATTGACAATGACTCTGGGACTTGTTTCCTCAGCATATTCTGGATTTTTGGGGATCCAGTCTGATTAGATACTCACTGTCCTGGTCCTGGAGGGAGCGGGGAGGAACTTGAACTACCCACAGGGCAGGAAACCCTGACTGCTCTTAGGGATGGAGAGGGAAGAGGAGAGGGAGTGGGGGGAGTGGGAGGGTGTTGGGAGGAGGGGCGAAAATGGAAACTTTTATATTTTAATAAACTTTGAAAAAAAGAAAAGAAAAAAAAAAGAAGTGTGCTTAGAAGCTGATCCCTGGGGGTTGAGCTTGGTGGAAGAGCCTTTGCCTAGTCTGCACAAAGCCCTGGGTTTGGTCTCCAGCAGCACACAAATTGTATACGAAAATTACTCTCACCCTGAGAACACGAGTCTGCTTGGCAGGAGTTTTCATCCACCTTACAACAACTCGCAGATTTATCAGGTCCCCTGTGCTATCCCATGTGGCACTAACAGTGTATTTGCAAGCTTGTATTACAAGCATTTTGTGGTATGAACTTGGGTGTTGCAGATCCAGATTTTGTGTGCTGTGTTTAGTGACAAAAAGTGTGTGTTTACACTGGAACCATTAAATGCCCTCAGCATACCCAGATAGCAAACCCTTAACTAGTTCAGCATACGTCTGCTCTTAGGCATGACAACCTCAATGTCTAGTGACATCTTGAGAATTCTGGTTAATCCTTAACCGCACAAGCACAGGGAAGCAGGTCCACCTTAGCCACACAAACGCAAGGGACACAGGGCCAGACCTCCCAGTCAGAAGCAGTTCTCTACAGGGGCAGTTCTGTCTCTCAGCAGCGCCTGTCACTGTTTGAGGTGTGAGACTTTTTATATTTTCACTGGAGATGGGAGGAAGTTAATGGCACTGCATGGGCAGGAGCTCAGGGAGCCTGCTGAATGCCACACAGCACAAAGGACAGCCCATGATTAAAAAAAAAAAAAATCCCCCTAAAGACCAGCAGTGTGGAGTCTGAGGAACCCAGCTCTAAATGGATCTTGCACAGATTAGTTTTTTTTTATTTTATTGGAGACAGGATCTCAGTACATAGCCCTGGATAACATGAACTCACTATATAGATCAGGTTGCCCTTAAACTCACAGAGATGCCCCTACCTGTGCCTCCTGAGCACTAGGGCATATTTAAAGATTGTTTTTATAAACAAAATTCAGTTACTGTTGTTGGTTTTTACTCTTTTTACTCTTTAGTTTTTTTAGCTTTGGGGGAGGCTTCCAAATAAATCTCACATGGAGTCTTAGTGGTTTTTTTTTCTTTTGTTGTTGTTGATATGTGTGTGTCAAGTAGCTTTGAAGCCTGTCCTGGAACTTGCTCTGTAGACCAGGCTGGCCTCGAACTCACAGAGATCCCTCTGTCTCTGCCTCCTGAGTGCTGGGATTAAAGCTCATGCCATCATCGTCTGGCATCTTATTCTTTCTTATAAATGCCGGGCCTTAGCTTGCCTTGTTTCTCGCCAGCTTTTCTTAAATGACCCCATCTACCTTTCGCCTCTGGGCTTTTTCCTTTTCTTACGTCACTCTTCCTCCATGGCAGACTGGGTGGCTGGCCCCTAGTGTCATCCTCTCCTTGTTCTCTTGCCCTTCCTTCTCTCCTTTTCTCCGTCTATTTATTCTCTCTGCCTGCCAGCCCAGCCTATCCTGTCTCCTGCCTTGTTACTGGCCGTTCAAATCTTTATTAGACCATCAGGTGTTTTAGACAAGCATCTTTACAGTTAAACAAATGCAGCATAAACAAAAGCAACATCGCTAAACAAACATTCCAGAGCATAAACAAATGCAACACACCTTAAAATAATATTCTACAACAGACTTTAGTTAAGTTTTCTTGTATATGTGGTGGTCACAGCTGGAGCCTGGGTCCTCTGAACCGAGACTCTGGCCCAGGTTTTCATAAGATGGCCAGTGAATACCCGATAAGGAGACTTGGTGACAGTCTCTTTCCAGAGGTCAGGGGTCAGGTAGCTGTAGTAGGTCTTAGAGATGGCATCAAAGATGGTCTTGGCAAAGTTGCCCAGGGTAGCAGTACAGCCCCTGACAGTGTGGCGGCCATCAATACTTCTTGAAAGTAGGAGTACCATCACCAGTAGCTTCTTGAAACAGGAGCACTGATGATTTTTAATATTTTTATCTAAGTGTGTGTGTGTGTGTGTGTGTGTGTGTGTGCGCTTGTGTGCGCAGAGGCCCACAGAGACCAGAGGCAATGGATCCGCCTGAAGCTAGAGTTACGGACAGTTGTCAGTCACTCACCTTTCGTTCTAGGAAACAATCTCAGGCCCAAGAGCAATGTGCTCTCCTCACAACTGAACCACATCCTAACATCTCGCTAAGTAGACTGAGCCCGCTGGCATTTTAGGCGTGCACCACCACACCTGGCTCAGATGTCTTTAAGAAAGGGTTTGGAGTGGCTTAACAATGCTTACCCCTGTCTCCCAGTGAGATGAGAAGCCTACCTGACTAATATTTCTTCCTAACTCGGTCACAGACACCTTCCAGTTCTGGACTGACACCAGACGGTTACATTCACTACGTTCCACACAAATACTCTTGGGTGGCTGTGCTGGCTGGGATTCCACACAGGAACAGAATCCGTAAGGGTGAGCATGGGGGCTGGAGGGCACACCTGTAGGAGCTGGCTCACATCATTGTAGAGGCCCTGACATTCCATACTAGGCTGTCCAAAACCTCACATCCAACTCTGATTTTGTGTGTGCGTGTCAAAGTGTATATAAGAGTGCACTTGTGAACATGTGCATCAAGTGTAGTGGCCATGGGTCACTTCAGCCCTTTCTCAGGAGAGGATCAAACTCAGTTTCTCAAGCTCCCATGGCTAGCACTTTTACAACTGACCCCTCACTTCCTGGTTGTTTTTAAGACAACATCCCACTGTAACAAGGCTGATCTAAAAGTCACAGCAATTCTCCTAGCTCAGCTCCTTTTCCCTCCCCATAACCCACTAAAAGGGAAAATAATAATAATAAATTCTCATGTTGCACACTTGCCATTTCATCTTTAAGCTCTTCTTCCAAAATACCAAGATAGGTCAGCAACAAGACTCCCCAAGGTGCTGCTGATCCAAGTAGGTACTTTGGAAGAAAAATAACCTATGTTTTCTCTTATTCAGATTTGTGTGTGTGGGGGGGGTGCGCACGCATGTGCGTGTGTGCATGTGTGTGCCTATGTGTGTGAGACGAAAGTAGAAAGGGTACTATGTGGAGGGAGCAAAGGCAGAAGAGGGGAACAAAATATGGTAATAGGATGAACTGACAAATATTTTTTCTCTTCTCATGTGTAACCTAGATATCTATATATGTATATGTATACATATACCTGCATGTGTATATGTATATTTGCTGTTACAAATAGATAATTTAAATGTGAATGTTATTTATTGAGAATATGACACACATGTGGCAGTTAGAGGATAACTTGAAAGAGTTGGTTTTTTTCCTTCTACAGTTATGAGTCTCCAGAATCACACGCAAGTCCTCAGGTTTGGAGCAAGCACCTTTACCTGCTTCAGTCATCTCAGCAGTCCACAAAGAATAAGTTTTAACACACTTTTAGGAATTGACAATTTGGCCAGGCTGTAGTGGTGCACACCTTTAGTCCCAGCATTTGAGAGACAAGCAGGAGGCTCTCTGTGAGTTCGAGGTCAGCCTGGTCTACAGAGCAAGTTCCAGGACAGCCAAGGTTAAATAGAGAAACCTTGTCTCAAAAGGCCAAATGATGATGATGATGATGGTGGTGGTGGTGGTGGTGGTGATGATAAAAGAAATTAACTAGGGTTGGAGAGATGGCTCAGTGGTTAAAAGCACTGACTGCTCTTCCAGAGGAAGAAGTTCAGTTCCCAGCACCCACATGATAGTTTACGGCTGTCTGTGATTCCAGTTCCATGGGATCCAACACCCATGGCAAAACACCAATGTACATAAAATATACGTAAAAAAAGAAATTGACAATTTGCTAAAGAGAAAAATGATATTTGTTGAATTCATCTTAACCACGTTCCATGAATATTTTCTTTTTTAAAAGCTGTCTTCCTGTATTTTTTTATATATCTAACTTAAGGACAACCTCTTCATTCTAGACACTAGTATTAACTCATCTCCCCATACGCTACAATCAGTGTTGCCTGTCGGCCCCTAGAGGACAGAATCGCTCCCTCCCACCTTAGCTGAAAAGACTGGGTGCTGCCCTGTTTCGAGGGCAGAAAACGAATTCCTAAAGAGCAGGTTCTCAGTGACAGCCTGATCTCCCCGCTTCCATCACACCACGTCATGCTTTCAGTTTCCTAACCTCTCTAGTTACTCCTTTGCTGTACTTAAAATTCCTGAGTACCCTAAAGGCATGCTCCCTGATAATTAATTTACTCGGGTGGTGGGGGTTGTCCATCTTGCTCTACAGCGTTACAGATGTGACCACTATGCGTATTCATACATAAATATGTACCAAGTACGTATTCCTATCACATAAATACCGTGCCTTCTGAGCCAACCAGGTTAAGGATAGTATGGGTAGGAAAGGTGCTCGGTGTTCTTGGGGGAACCACCTGGTCTGACAACCCTGGGACATCGGTCTGTTGGTGAGTCCCTTTGTGAGCAGTCGCGGTGATCGTGGGATTCAGAGCTGTCAGCGTTCGGAGCAGAGTGAAGGACGTCACCGAACCCGCCACCTTACCGTCCCCGCGGGTAGTTTCCCGGCCGAGAAACTAGAACTGACCGGGTGCAGGAGCACGTTCCCACCGAAACCAGCGCGGGCCAACCGCTGGAGGGAAAGGCCAACCTCTTTTTTTTAGTAGACCAATCAGAGACGAAAATGGGCCAGACTGACATCCCTGGGAACCAATGAGAAGCAGGGGGCGTCCTCCGCGTGCTTGGGCACGAGAACAGCTTATTAAAAGGCACCAGTCAAAGGATCTGGTCCTGGCTATGGACGGAGATGGGAACCGAGCGCCGGGAACCATTTCGGCGGCGAGATCGGCTCGCACTAAGCCTGGCACGCGCTGCCAGCAGCGCCGACCTCTCCGAAGCCGACCGAGGAGCGGGAAGAAGACGTGCTGCGCGCCGACGTCACGCGCCGCGCCCCGCCCCCGGACGCTTATAGCGTAGGCCTGCGCGCGCGC